AAGGATTTACTGTGATGGGATTAGCACAATCATGATCAGAAAGGCTCATGGTAAATCCATCATGAAGTACTATTCTATCTGTGATAGGATTAGATCTATCCGCCTTCAAGGAAATCCAATCAATACAACCAGAATTCAATTTTATGCACCAACCACAAAAGCTGATAGGAGGAATTGAAGCACTTGCTGATAAAGATGAAGGATTGTAGCCTTCAGTATGAATTAGAACTCTATGTGAGAAAACAAAAAAACAAAAAACAAACGCACTGCCATCGAGTTAGTGCTAACTCACAGAGACTCATGTGGGTTTATGAAACTACAACTGTTTAGGGGAGGAGAAACCCAGTCTTTCTTCAGCAGATCTAAATTTGGTTTCAAACTGCTAACCATGAGTATCGAAGCCTAATGTGTAACCACTACACCATCGAGCTCCTAACTCTATGTAAGGAAGACCAAAATAGGTAATATCCTGGTCAATGGAAAGAAGGTCTAAGTTGTCAAGAATTTTGGAATTCTCCATTGCATCATCTGCATCTGCAATTTGTACATTGGATAAGGAAGACTGTAGAAGAATCAATGCCTTTGAATTGTGGTGCTAGAGAAGAATATTGAAAATACCATGGACTGCTGGAAGGACTAACCCGATCTTTGTTGGAAGAAGTAAGGCCAGGGTGCTCCTTAGGGCAAGAATGACGAGATTTCATCTCACCAACTTTGGACGCATCGTCAGGAGAGAACAGTCCCTGAAGAAGAACATCACCTTTGATAAAATGGAAGTGCGGTGCAAAGGAGGGCGGCCCTCGGTGAGATGGAAGGGCACAGTAGCGACATCAGTGGGCTCAGTCAGATGAACAGTTGTGGCAATGGCACGAGAGTGTGCAGTGTTCCATTCCATTGCCCACAGCGTCACTGTGAGTCGAAGCTGACTCAATGGCACCTAACAACACAGACATTTCCCCGCAGGGTTCTGTTTACAAGTACAAAGGTTAGGATTTCTGCATGTGTCTGTGGAGAGAAACAATGCCACCCGTTAATATTTCAAAGCTCTTTTTTGTTAGAATTCATTATTGAGAAATCAAGGTTTTAAGCAACTAGAATAAAACCTCGAGGTTGGCAATTGTTGTTAACGCTCAGCACATTATTATGGGTTTTTCACATTAAAATTGTATCTGATTATCCTAGCTGCCCTGATATTGGAATAACATCATTTGCATATTCTTCTCATATATTTTCAGAGAGCAGATTATGAGTAGGAGCCCTGGTAGCACAGTGGTTAAAGCACGATGCTACTAACCAAATGGTCAGTAGTCTGAACTCACAGCTGCTCTTTGGGAGAAAGGTGTGACTATCTCCTGTGGGAGATTCACAGCCCTGGAAACCCCGTGGAGCGCTTCTACTTTGTTTTTATAGGATCACTATGCGTCGGAATGGACAGGAGAGCAGTGGGCGGAGCACGAGCATCCAGAGGTTCTTGTATGTATCAGTGTGAGGTTTAAGATGTCACATCGCTGTGTTAAATTTTGACAATGTATCCAGGAAAATCACTCAGAGCAGGTTTACTTTCAAATCCATTAGCTTTCTTTCCTTCTTATCTCAATGATGCTAAACTCAAATCAACAGATCATAGGAGACTTGAAGTCTAGACTCTGGAAAGTCTCAGTTCAGCGATAATTTAAAAATTTACAAGTATAAGGACACTTCTGTCCCTAAAATCAGGTGCCCTGGTGGCCCAGTGGTCTATGTAATGGCTGCAGTTTGAGCCCCCCAGTCACTCTTGGAGGAGATGAGCCTATCTTTTCCTGTCAAGATTCAAGTCTCACAAACCTGCACGGGCTGTTCTAGTCTGTCCTGTAGGGTCACCCAAAGGAGAAATCGACTCAAATGGCAGTGAGTTTGTGTTTTTGTTTGTTTGTTTTGATGAATACCTAAAATGAATGTTTTACATTTTTCTTTTGAAAGTTTATATAAGGTCATGTATTTATGTTTGATTATAACTAAACTTTAGAAACCAATTTGCAGTTGTTACCTGATTTCAATGAAACACTACCTCTGTGTAGCACACTTTAAAATATATGCACTCACAAGATTTAAAAACTCATTTTTATTATTTGATAATTAAGAAACTTGGTGTGATAATCAGGGGAAATATCTGTAGTTGATAGAAAGCAGAATTAGAATCATTATTAATGCTAATAATAGAATTCTGACAATCCTGCTAGATGGAGTTTACCAGAATTCAGTTTCTAAGAAGCTACACTAAATGTAATTAATGTAGTAGATTCATGGTAACTGACAGTGTGATATAATTCTTTTTGGTTTAGCTCTGTACTTTTGGGCAGAACCAAGTCACTGGCCTGATTGATTAGCAGAGTTCCTTTCCCCTCATAAATATTATTAGAGAAATTTAAGGGTATTTAGGTTTTTTTAGGAATAATAAAGACCAGTTTTCAGTCAGTACTTTAATAAATGGAAACAACACTCATCTTTTCACTATCCCGCTTTTTGCCTTTAGTTAATAATACTGAAGTAAATTATCTTTTCATCTTAGCATGTGGAGAGACAAGTAATTATCATAAGTTATATGTTAAATTATTACATATATCATAATGAATTAGGTTACTGCTAAAGATATTGAAAATATGATCTCATCATTGATGAATACTAACTAAATTTTTCACAGTTGATTTTATGATAAACTTATGAAATCAACTGATGATTGTGACGTGATCAGCAATAAGATTCAGTATGTATTTATCAGAATGAATGCTGGTAATACATTAATATACTTCAAGATGAGCATAAACTCTCATCTTTTACAAAATATTTTCTCACACTGATTAATCTGTAGTTTTAAGAAATCGTTTCTAAGAGACAATTGCGTTTTGATTAAGCAAATGATTCATCTCTAAACTGATATTCTAAAAATTGGTTCTATTATAGAAATGACAATCTATGTAATTTGTGCAGAAGCTATCTTCTCTTAATGAAATATAATTATTTCTTATTGTGTTTATTTTATATAAGAAAAAGTAATCATTAAGAAATTCTGTTTATGTGATTTTTCTTTCACTAGCAAAACTTAGAAAATGAAAATTTGAGAATTATATTTCTTCTTGCAATTAACAGGAGTTTTTCTTATACCCACCTAGTGTATTTATCATCTAACCAGCTAAGCAAATACTTCCATTTTAAAAGAGTGCTCAGAAATTTTTGAATTCTAATATATATCAAGCCATTATTTCATTTAAAAATATTTTATAAGTTCAATAGTTCCTTGTAGAATAATAATTTCAATGATTTTTTTAAGGGGAAGCACATTTTAAATATCAAGAAAAACTTTGTTGACAGTTTGTGGAGATATACCCTGTATGTGTTACTATTATGTTATGACTTTGATATATATGAAACACTAAAAATTATTCTCATACGATATCCATTGGTTCAACTACTCTGATTTGTGTTACTGTTACATGGATAGTTTATTAAACATTTTTTTATATCTGCTAGTCAATCTTGGAATTGCTTACTGGTTTAGATTAAAAATATTATAATACCATAGTGATCATTTTGTAACAGGTAAAACGTGGGCTCTTTCTTGTTAATTGAATTAAAACTCTCCATTTATACTTTAATTTCTAATTAATAACAATTAAGCCCACATTGAACAGAAATAATTTGTATTTTTCTGTTGAATAAAATGCCACTGCTTGAAAGTGATATTTTATAATTCAAATAAAATATATCAGACTTTCAATAATGAGACAAATTTTTGTGTAAAAGCGCTGAACCATCTGGGTTACAATGTCAGAAGTTGTGGGTATCGCAGATGGTTAAGCGATTGACTCTCAGCAAAAGTTTGGCGCTTTGAACCTTCCCAGAGGCATCTCAGAATTCAGACCTCATGATCTACTGCCAAAATCCAATAGCATTCAAAACCCTATTGATCTTTAATAAGTACAGTTGTTTGAAGCATAACCATCCCACGTGTTCAAGTAAAACTATGTAGCTCACAGTATATCCTTCTTGGGTAAAAATGAGGCTTACTGCTCCGTAAAAATTTACAGCCTGAGAAACCAACAAGGGCAATTCTACTCTGCCCTAAGAGTGAATTGGGTTTGAACTATGATTTGGAATCGACTGACTGGCAAAGGATTTTGTTCTTGGAATTTTAATCTTAACAAAGAAAATTGCTTGGTTTTCCTCTTTCTGAGTTTTTGAGTCAGTCAACAGTCAATTTTTGTTAGTAGTTGAGTGCTTAATCATTGAGCCACTATTCTCGTATACGTAAAGCTCTGTAAAGGTATGATTATTATTATTATTATTATTGCTGGATTAATATATGTATATATACACACACACACACACACACACATACACATATATACTTGCTAAAGCTTCTCAAATTGGAAGTTAAACATTTTGTTTCTTAGATGTAATTGAAAAACTTGAACAAAGTTAATAAATACATATTATAAAACACTATGGCTGATATTAGCCATATCACAATATGTACATGCATAAATATTACCCCCCAATAGATACATATTTAATAAATTGATTCATAATAGAACTACATATAAATTCATCACATTTAATGACCAGAGACATTTATTTTGATATATAAGCACCAAGGCAGTTTTCTATTTTTACATTTTTATTGTTTACTGTTAAAATTTGTAATTTTTAGAAATAAATATATAATATATATATGCATAAAACTAAACACAAACAGCTTGAAATGCTACAGACATCTTTGATGTATTTGCTTTCACTCTGCAATTTGTTTTTCATGCTTTTGTAGTTCCTTTCTTTTGAGACTCATTTTTGGCACAGTCAGATTTAGCAGTGTCCTTTTTATTGTATTATTCTGGGTCCACTTCAGGACCAATTTATATAATCCTTACTAGCAACACTAGACTAACCAGATGACCCTCACTTAACAGAAGCAAGAGATAATTCAGTTCACTTAACTGTGTTGGTGTTTTCTTGTTCTCTTTTAGTTAATCTGCTGGATTCAAAAACAATTCAAGGGGAGCTGGGCTGGATCTCATATCCATCACATGGGGTGAGTTCAAGACATAATTGAAGGGGAAAATGAACATGGCCAATGTCCTTTTTGGACTATTTGAAGGGAATGTTAGTGTGTTCTCCTGTGGGAGTGCCTATAGACTTCTGGAGAAAGTTATGTGTATGTTTGTTCAATGTAAGGTTTAATAATACTTGCTATTTCTTTTCAATTATACTTTAAGAATTCTGAGATTTTCTTTTTTTTCTGAATTTATTAATTAAGTAAACTGATGAAATACTCTTAATATTTTTGGCATAGCATAAATGATTTAATTGGATTCATCTGACATTTTGTGTGTGTGATAAGCAAAGGATAATTGAGAAGATTGTCTGCATTTTAAACTATGTAGAAAATGAGTATTTGGAGATGGTGTAGCGTTAGTTCAACCTTGGTGATTATTCCAGAAAGAGGTTAGGGTGGGAATTAGCTTTCAAATGTATAAATTTGGATGGCCTTCATTTGGTTGTTTAGATCTCTTTTAAATTGGGAATTTTGTTTAGGAAAACCCTGATACTGCCTTCAGATTTTAAGTTTACATAGCTGAAGTAGTTTGCAGCCAGACACAGATTGCTAAGATGCTTTATGCCTTTTTGGTGGCTTGAATGTTTGTGATAAGTCTGTTGTAAGAGAAAATTTTAATTTCCCTTTTTGAGAAAGAAGTGGGTTATACATTTGGAAGCTTGTTGTCTCCATAGAATAAAGGCCTCACCTTTGTTGTTGTTTCCAAGTAAAGTCTATAGAAAATGAAAAGTACTGTTCTGAAATATAGTCCTTGGGATAAATGTGAGCATTTCTTTTTCTGTTTTCCTCGTCCTCTGTTCAGAGAGGTTACAATCACTTATATTAGCTTTCAGTCTTTAGATTGTTTTGTGCCCAAACCTACTAAAATTTACTAGCTTCTTCTTTATCAAGGGGTGCTTTACATCAGAGATACTTCATCTATCTGTCAACTTTGTATCTGTTTCTCTTCCTGGTTCACTTTGACATTGACAAACGCCAACATGTATCACCTAATCAGACTTTTGTTAGTTACTTTGGAGGAGCCAAAGTATGTGAAGTAAGCCAGGATTGGGTTTGCTCATAGGTGTAAAAGAAATAAAACCATTAGCATAAAACCATAGCCCTACTCCTTATAAAACTTAGAATAGAAATTTAGAATTGAACTGGAAAACTCATTTAAAACAAGTTTATCAAAAGTCAAACCTACTCTTAATTTTGGGTTTAGAAATCTGATTTTTATATTACTTGGCCAGATGATATATTGTAAAAGTTTGCTGCTTAAAGACAAAAAACCAAAAATGGTGATTTTTTTTTACTAACAGATGTTAATAGGTATATATTTAAAATAATTAAAAGAACCCTATTCTTCCCTTTAAAGAAGCTGTAGAAATAGTAAATTCCTACATAGTATTTTGAGAAATGAATTCATTTTACATTGCTAAATAATCTCATAGATGTTTGATGAAAGTTAGCACTTGTGTTTCCTTTGGGAATGTGTGCGTGTTTACTGTTTTACTACACAAAGTGCAGTACCCAGAGCAGCAGTTTCAGCAACAATGCAGAGACTATTATAAATGCACACCCTTAGACCTGCCCTAGACTTTCTCAGTAGGGTCTGCATCTTAAAATGGTCCCTGGGTGGCTCGCAAGCATATTAAATTTGAGAAACACTGTTCTTTATTTCTTGACTTTTCCCATCTCTAACCCACCGTCCCACCTCTTTTATACTTAAGAAGGTCCTGCATCTTTCTTAGTCAACAGCTTTCCGTTCCTCACGTGCTGGCTGTGCCTCAGAGGGCCTCCCTCTGCCTTTGGCCCACTCGTCACTGTTTTCTGTTGATCTTTTTGCAGCTGTGACTTCCCTGCTTCTGATGCATAAAATAGCCCTAAAACAGCTGGTAGAGCACTCCAAGCTTACCATTAAAACCCATAGGAAGCAAAAAAGAAAAACTTTCCAGTAGATCACGATATTTATAAGATCTCACAATTTGCAAAGCTAATGAGAGTGAGCGGGAGAAAGAGAGAAATTAACTATTTGTACCAGATTATTCTTTGAGAATGAATGATTTTTATTTTCTTTAAACTTCTCCCTTTACATGCTGTTAGTTCTAATGAAGATAATGTAATAGTGCTAATAAAAATAGAATAATATCCATTCTTTTTCTTTTTGCTATGCAACCAATGATATTTTTGAGCAAATGCATTGCATAGTAAGTAGATTCGAAATTTAACACCATTGCTTGTAAAATTACATCTTATCAATTTATAATGCTTCATATTTTGTTCTCAATATAACAATATATGAAATAGTTTAATTTTGTATTTGTTTTCCATTTAAAAGAGCTAGATAACATAGTTGTGTGATATCTTTGTCACTTTTTTCCCCATCAGAATATGGCATGTCATCCATAGCTCAAAACAACCCTATGCCCACAAGTTCTAAATGCCAAATGTGTGATATGAAACTTGAAAAGAAAGGATTAGTTCTAATTTCAAATCCAGGATAGGTAAATCAACAGAGACAGTAGCTGGACTGATGGTTTCTTGGAAGTATTTCAGGGGAGTTTGAGGAGAAATGAGCTAATGAAAATGAGTACAAGAAAGAAGAAAATATTCTAAGATAGATTGTGGTGAAGAGTGTATAACTTTTTTTGAAGAAGCACACCAGCCTCTGTGATCATGAGGTGTTAATAGGATCAGGTATTAAAGACCCAGAACCAAAAAATCATATCATTGTGAATGAGGGGGAATGCAGAGTGGAGACCCAAAGTCCATCTGTAGGCAATTGGACATCCCCTTACAGAAGGGTCATGGTGAGGAGATGAGCCGGTCAAAGTGCAGTATAGCACAGATGAAACACACAACTTTTCTCTGGTTCTTTAATGCTTCCTCTCTCCGCATTATCATGACCCTACTTCTATCTTACAAATCTGGCTAGACCAAAGCCTTATTTTTACACCAGGCTTCAAACCCTAAAGCAAATTACGTATCCTTTGGGCTTCACAGGAGAATCTGGATATTTAAAGAAGTTGACACCAATATAGTCTGTCAGTTTGTTATTTGGCTATATGGATCATAATAGATTATGGATAACACAAAGAATGAGAATTCTAGAACATTTGTCTGTGCCCTTGCAGAACCTATCCATAGACTAAGAAACAGTTGTTAGAATAGAGCAAAGGGAGCCAGTCAGGGTGCAGACTAGAAACTATGCAACATTTAACTTTCCTCTAGTTCTTTAATGCTTCCCCCACCCCCCCAACTATCATGACCCCAGTTCCACCTTAAAAACCTGGCTAGACCAGAGCATGTAAGCGGGTACAGATAGGAGCTGGAAACACAGGGAATCCAAGACAGATAACTCCCTCAGGACCAATATTGAGAGTAGCCATACCAGTAGGGGAAGGGGAAGGTGCGGTGAGAAAGGGGGAGCCGATCACAATGATCTACATATAACCCCTCACAGGGGGATGGACAACAGAAAAGTGGGTAAGGGGAGACATCAGTCAGTGTTAGACATGAAAAAAAAAAAAATTACTGCAGAAGGACACTGAGCGTGATAAATAGCCCTTAAGTGAAAAAGAGGAAGACCCTCAGCAAGCTGGATTGAAACCGGGCTGCAAGAGTGGGCTCAGCTAGCAATTGCTGTGTGGATGGTTCAGAACCAGGCAATGTTTCATTCTGTTGTACATGGGGTTTCTATTGTGACTTGGTGCCTATGAACTGGTATCTCATGACAACAACAATATACAACAATATGCCTACAGCAATACTGTATATATATCTATATATATATCTAGTGTTTATATCAGATATAAATACTATGTATGTCTGTGTGTATATGTGTGTGTGTGTGTGTGTGTGTGTATATATATAATTAGAGAGAGACATTGCTGCTTTTGGCTAGGTTTTAGGCTGCTAACCACAGTTTCAGAAATCCTATATATGTCACTATGCATCAGGATGAGCATGATCTCTCTCGCAGATGCACACATACACACACACATACACACGCACACATACACATGCACACTCACCCATTGATGTTGTTGCTGTTCTCACTCACCGCCAGTCAGTCGATTCCAATGCATAGGTGGCCTGTAGGACAGAACAGAACTATCCGTGTGGGTTTCTGAGACTGTACCTGCCACAGGAGTAGAACGTCTCATTTTTTGAGTGACTGGTAGTTTCAAACCGTTGACCTTGCAGTCAGCAATCCAATGCATAACCCACATGCCACCAGGGTTCCCATTGTTGCTGGTTGCTTCTGTAAATTGGTTCCACAATGTGCACAACAGAAAGAAACAGTGCCTCGCTGTTTACTGTCCTCAGAATTGTACTTATATTTGAGTAGACTGTTTTAGTCATTGTGTCAATGCATCCCCGAAGGGTCTTCTCTTTCTTCACAAACTTCTACTTTAGCACGAAGGAGAACCTTTTCCTGGAACTGGTCTTTCCTGATAACATGTCCAAAATACATCCTCAAGTCTAAGGATCATTGTGGCTGTAAGTCTTTTAAGACAGATTTGTTCTGAAATCTGAAAGTCCATGATCATTTCAATATTTGTTTGACAACACCATAATTCAAATGCATACTTTCTTCTTCAATCTTCCTTATTTATTGTCTAACTTTCATATGGAAATGTGGGGATTGAAAATATAGCTTGGGACACGAGCTTCAAAATGATGCTTCTGCTCTTTAACACTTAAAATAGGTCTTGTGTAGGACATTTGCTCAATGCAATGGATTGTTTGATTTCTTAGCTGCTGTTTCCCTGAAAATTAGTGATGGATTCGAGTCAAACGAAGTCCTCTCCAGTCTTCTCCATTTATCATGATGCAGGCGTTCTCGGTTTGAGGATTTTTGTTTTCTTTACATTGAGTTGCAATCCATACGAAGGTTGCAGTCTTTGGTCTTCATCAGAAGTGCTTCATGTCTACTTTCACAAAGCAAGATTGTGTTGTCCATATAAAGTAGGTTGTTAATAAGTCTTCTT